CTAGCTCTGGACCTTTCTACATGCTGTTCTTTATGCTGTTCCTATACTCTCCTACCCAACACTCAGCCTCACTCTGCCTCCCTCATCTAGTTAAAGGTTATTCATCCTTTAAATCTCAAGCTCTCAAAGAGTTTTCTCTTATCCCACAGGCAAATTTAAATTCCCCTGCCATATGTATGTTCTCATGAAGTCTAGAACAATTTGTAAACATGTTTTTGTGATTATCTGGTTAATGTTTGATTCTTCCAATAAACTATGAATTCCATGAAAACAGGAATCAGATCTATTTTATTCTTCATTATATTCCAGGCACCCATCACAGTTATTAGATATTTGTTGAATAAGAGTCCTAGGTCATTCACAGCCTACATAAAGCTGCTGAAAGTTAAGAAAATAATTTTTTTATTAAATTTATTGGGGTGACATTGGTTAATAAGTGTCAACTCTACAATATTATATCATCTGTATATTGCATTGTGTGCTGATCACCATATATTTGACCCCCTTTACCCTCTTTGACCTCTGCCCATTCCTCTTCCCCTCTAGTAACCACCATTCTGTTGTCTGTGTCAGCGAGTTTTTGTTTGTTTTGTTTTGTTCATTCATCTGTTGTTTTGTTTTATATCCCACATAGGAGTTAAATCATATGATTCTTGTTCTTTTCCATCAGACTTATTTTGCTCAGCATGATGCTCTAAAGATCCAGCTATGTTATCAAAAATGGCAGTATTTCATCTTTTCTTATGGCTGGGTAATATTCCATTGTGTATATGCACCACATCTTTATCTACTGAAGGGCACTTCGGTTGTTTCCATGTCTTAGCCACCATGAATAATGCTGCAATGAATATTGGGGAGCATATATCTTTATGAATAAACATTTTCAAATTTGGGGGGTAGATACCCAGAAGAGGGATTGCAGGGTCATATGGTAATTCTATTCTTAATTTATTGAGGAACCTCCATAGTGGCTGTACCAATTTACATTCCCACCGCAGTGCATGAGGGTTCCTTTTTCTCCAGATTCTCTCTGACACTTGTTATTTCTAGTCTTGTTGATGAAAGCCATTCTAACAGGTGTGAGGTAGTACCTCACTGTGGTTTTGATTTACATTTCCCTTATAGCTAGTGAAGTTGAGCATCTTTTCATATATCTGTTAGCCATTTGTATGTCTTCTTGGGAAAGTGTTAAGATCCTCTGCCCACTTTTTAGTTGGATTGTTTGTTGCTCTTTGTTGAGTTGTATTCATTCTTTATATATTTTGGATAATAACCCGGAGGTATCATATGCAAATATCTTTTTCCATTCAATTGGTTGTCTTTTGTTTTGTTGATGGTGTCTTTTGCTGTGCAAAAGCTTTTTAGTTTGATATAATCCCATTCATTTATTTTTGCTTTTACTTCTCTTGACTTTGGGGTCAAATTCATAAAATCTTCTCTAAGGCCAAGGTCCATAAGTTTATGTTTTCTTCTATGTATTTAATTATTTCAGGTCTTCGATTTGTTTTTGAGTTAATTTTTGTGTAAGTGTCAAGTAGCAGTCTAGTTTCATTCTTTTGCATATGACTTTCCAATTTTCCCAGCACCATTTTTTGAAGAGGCTTTCCTTTCTCCATTGTATATTTTTAGCTCCTTTGTTGAAACTTAGTTGCTTACCTAAATGCGAGTTTATTTCTGAGCTTTCAGTTCTGGCCTATTGGTCTTGTGTCTGTTTTTCTGCCAATACCATATAGTTTTGAAATTGTAGCTTTGTAGTATAATTAGAAGTCAGGGAGTGTGATACTTGTTCTTTTTTCTCAGGATTGCTTTGGCTATTAGGGGTATTTTATGGTTCTATACAAATTTGATGATTTTTTGTTTTATTTCTTTGAGAAATGCCATTGGGATTTTGATAGGGATTATATTAAATCTATATATTGCTTTGGGTAATATGGCCATTTTAATTATGTTGATTCTTCCAGTCCATGAACATGAAATATCTTTCCAGATTTTTGTGTCTTCTTCAATTTTGGAAATAATTATTTAAAAAAGAAAATGGTAACCAATACCTTCATTAGAATTGAGAGCACTGAAGAACTTCAAAATGAAAATCAAATAAGGCTGCCAATCTCTGAGCAGGAATCAGCTGCCCCTTCTCACTCAACGCAATCAACCACAGGGTAATTACACACACTGGCCAAGAGACTTGTCTAAGACTATACTTCTGAGAACTGGAGACCTCAAAAAGTCTCTTCAGGCAACTGTACTCAGCCAGAGAACAGGCTGAGCCAATTGAGGGGAAAAATAAATAAATATGACCAAAAGATTCTTCCTACTCTGATGGCCTCAGTATAACAACTAATATCTATTCCAAATAATAATTTTGCTGGATAACAGTCAGGTTAATTAACTTATATCAAATTCAAAGGAGGAAAAAGTGGTTAACTTGATGTCAGATAAACACAAAGCCCCAAATTTATGGCAAATATTAGCCTCAGACAACTGCTCGATACCACCGCACTGAGTTGGTTCCTCTGAAAAACTGGGTCCACGTGGGCAGCCAAAATGAAAAATCAAATATTGGAAAAGAATCATGCTCCTGAATTTTGGAGAATATTTATGAAAGCAAATAAGGTGAGCAAATGAAGTCAATGGTAGAAAAACAATGCCCAACTCACTCCCTCGTTGCCCAAGGCAACTGTTGCTTAAACAATAACAACAGAATCTAATCAGTAAACCTCTCAGTTGCCAAAATCAAACAAGCAACTTGCCTATTTAAAATGTCACATTTCCCATCTGATGTAAATATTTGCCTTCTGCTCACATTCCTGAAGTGTAATACAAATTAGGCCCAAACTAAAATTCACCTTGGCACAAACTATTTTATTTATCTTTTTCCTTTCAAATGACCCAGACGGTGCATTTTGAAGATTGTGAAGCCCCGGTGGTGTTTTCGGTGACTGGAATAGATCATTGAAGCCAGCGTTGCTTTTCAGCCGAGGCTTTTCACACGATTTTACACTTGGGAAGGTCTTGACCTGCTCATTCAAGTCCACTGAGACTTGATTCGGGCCTCAGTAACCTTTTATACACAAATGCAAGACTACCTGTTATTTGATTTCTGGAAAAATCATACTAGTGAGATGTTTTTAAGCAATATTTTAAACTAAAGTAACAAATCTGATTTTAAAAAGCATTAAAAACATAACTTGAAAAATGTTTAAAGAAAAGAATATGAAAATAATGAAAAAGGTAAAAAGGCTAATTTAAGAGATTGATATAACCAAAATCATATTCATTGGCTAAGTAGGTTTACGTCAATATACAGATCTTCTCATTACTGGCAGGAAGCAAGAAATTTAAACTATCAAAAAAAAAAATGCCTAACCTGTGCACTTCTGTGCCCTCCTATAAAATTAATTTTATATTGTAAATGTACTACATGCAAACTAAAACCATTCATCTCTAAGGATCATCCACAGATAAACTTTATCAGAATCCCCTAGGGTAGTGTAAAAACACAGATCACTAGAGGCCAGCAAAGTCTTTCTAAATTAGACTCTCTTGGGAACAGGACCTAGGCATCTGCATTTTTAACAAGCTTCTCCTTCTCAAATCACCCAAAACCCAAACACAGAGCTTGCTCTACAAACTCGGCTTCTGGCTAAGTCCTTAGCTATCCTTTATAATCCAAACAGAGCTCCTAAACTCCTCTTTTACAGAAATTCAGAGCTGCCTAGGGTGTGTAAGTTAAGAAAACCTCTCCCTGGACTACGTGAATCCTTTAGATCTCTGATCTCACTTGAACCGAGTAAGTAAGCAAAACAATCTGCACAAGTCTACTGGTTAACAGAGTGCTTAAGAAAGAAACCCCTCAGTAGAGTACTGTGATGTTCAAGCAACCAGAGAAGCCAGAGCAGGGCCTTATACAACCAATTTACAGAGAATCGCCATCCCGAAACCAACTACACCGTCACTTTAACTACCGTCTTATTACAAATAAGCCCCCCATCCAATGATAATGACAATACTTAAATGCCAACCACCAAACCCCCATGGAAACTGCCCCTTCCCTAACATTCAACATTGACTTTGAGATATTCTTGCATATTTAATTAAGAATGAGAGTTTTCAAAGCAAATAACTCTAATTTTGAACATATTTCAAAGGCACTTTGACCAAAAAAAAAGGATACCTATGCTTACACAGAAATGTTAACCAGGAAAAGTAAAAGACTTCATCTACATAAACATCGATGAACTAGCATTAAGCCTCTTCCGGCCCAGCCCAGGTGGGAAAATGCTCCAGAAGAAATATTTACAATATATCTTTAGTCTTATTTTTTCAATTATTTATTATTATTATTTATGCCTACAGTACCTGGTCGTCCTAGGTGGTCTCCCATCCAAGTACTAACCAGGCCCAACCCTACCTAGCTTCCAAGATCAGACAGAACTGGGCTTGTTTAGGGTGGCATGGCCGTAGACCATGGACCATGGCTCCACTGGGGTGCGAACCCAGGACTTTCTGCATGTAAAGCAGAAGTGCTAACCGCTACGCTATGGAACCATGTCCATCTTTAGTCTTAAATGTTTGGTTTACATATTTAATAAATATGTTATAAAAGCAACAATTTGGATTTTATTGTATGATCAATTCTGATATTTTTATGATTTTTATGATCAAATGATGTTTTACGTATCACTCAAAAATAATCTCAATTTACAACATGGCGCTTCTAAGAAATAAAAGTTTGACTTAAATGACTTTACTTAAGACAATTATCCAAAAATCAATCATACAGCAAATTGGTGGGGGCAGGGAGATCTTTATTCCATTTAAGACGTAACACTTCACAACTTTCTCTGTTACTGAAAAAGAACAGGACTCCAGTTTTCTCTATCTCAGGAAAGAAGGAGGTAGGATTGTCAAAAAAAAGACAAAAAGGAAAGTAGGCTAAAGTCTCATTGGTAGCTTCTAAAAAGAGGTTAAGCAGTACAGAGAGGAAACAGAAGTCATACCCTTGCTCATTTGGAGCTTAATCTCTTCATCCACGTCCAAATCTTCTATTTCTAGGAAATTGTCTACCTAGAAAGAGATTAACATCATTTTTATGCTTATTAGACAGAAAGAAAAAATACAATTAAGAATCAATGCATCCATTTCCACAAAATTCAAGTGAGCAACTGAATCCAATTTTCTCGCTAACTTTCGAGTACCAGCTAATGGTCTTTGTGTTCACTTTGCTTTACCAGAGAAATCTGAAAGAAGCAGTAAATTTGGAAGTTGGCCTGGATTTTGTAGGTACCAAAGTAAGATCTCTACACTGAAAGGGAAGAAACTATTTGGGGAGTTTTTGAAAAGAGACTTTGTTCCAGATTACATCTCAAGAGAGACACCACCACCAAGACAGTCCAATGTTGTTTTATTGCTTTTGTTTATTGCTCATGATGGTGGGGGGTCTGGCTATTATTATAGCAGTAGGCTTTTCACTCTGAAAAGCCAGAGAGAAAAAACTAAAGAAGTAAGAGAGAAAGATTCATTCAAAACAAAATCTTCCTGCCTCAGGTAAATCACAAGAGAGGTGAGCAGGCCAAAAAAATCAAGTGTTCTCTCTTTCGAGCAAATAAAACTGGAAATTACTTAAAAGGTAAAAAGCAGAGCAAATGACCTTTACAGATACAAGAGCAACATTTCAATGAAAAACTATTCCGCGTGGGAACAGATACAAGAGCAATATTTCAATGAAAAACTATTCCGCGCGGGACACTGTTTTCTACTGCAAGCTGACAATGAGACATTTTAGATGAACAAAATGGTAACATTTCAGACACAAATTAATTCATCTCAGGTGAATATCAAAGACTGTAAATAAGAAAATGATTTTACCACTGGCTCTAAGGAGATCTAGTAAAGGCATAATGTCAAAATGCCTTTTATGCTTATGACCTAAAACATGTGCATAACAAAATACCTTAAAATTGCAAATTTAGACCTCATAATTGGAATTCAAAAGACAAGCTGAGTCTCTCTTCCTTCAGCTCTATTTGCCAGACCCTGTCTCTTACATAGGAATTAAAAATGGCAGCTTCCATGGCTTGTAAGTACATAACTGCAGTTATTTCTTAACATCCAAGTGACAGCAAAAATTTATCTTTCATAAGCTGGTTTCAGTACTAAAATATGAGAATCTGTTATATTGTCATTTCTCTTAATGGTATATGCTAATGGAGACTACAGTCATGTTTCTCTATCAAAGTATCTCATCAATTTATTAAGCTTCAAGGAAAAAAGATGCAGAACCCAGCCAACTATGGATGGTTTAAGATGCTCAAACACCAACTTAAAAAAAAGTATGAGGACAAAATCTGCTGAATTCTCCAACTTGTATGAGAGAGCCAATAAGTCCTATGGTTTTTTGTTTTTAGGTTTTTAGGTTTTGTTTTTGTTTTTGTTTTTTGTTTTGCCATGGAAAAAAAATTACTCATGCCTTACCTTTACCTTTCCTGCCCAATTCAGATCACCTTGCAAGGAACTGCCAACTTTTTCGCCTTCATCTATCATTATCTGAAAAAAACAATGAGGACATATTGAGGAGAAAATGAAACAACCAAAAATAAAGGAGCCAATCGATCTTGTAGCCTTTCAGATGGTAAAACTCTCCTTTCAGTTTTTGTGGATTAGCTATACATGATGAACCAGATTCACTGAATCATAGCAGAGGTCGCGGATAGGTTTCCAGAAGTCGACTTCCACTTCTGTCCTCTAAGTTCATCCACAGTGTAGCCTAACTAGATTATTTAACCTCAGGTTTTTCATGTGTAAAATCAAAACTCCCCACTTCATTACCGTACCTCCTATCCCATCTCAATGAATCTTTTAATGTAGGGAGGAAGCAAGAGAACTAAATGTTAAATCAAGCTATATTCCGAGACTGCAATATGCTGGTCAGCCCTAGAGCCAAACCACATGGAAACCTGCAGAAGAAAGGAAGATTCTGCTGAGATTGCTAACAAACCATTTCCCCATACTGTGCAGGGAAAACAGAGTCTTTAAATCACACCTTACACAAAATAAAATCGTTCATTCCCTATGGCAAAAATCTTGGGGAACTCATGGATCAAAGGCTGGGAATTGCTGGCAGGCCTTTCACGCTACATATTCTTACCTTTTCACGCTATATACTTATTTTTTCTCACTGTATACCCATATCGAAGGAAATGGGTAACAAAGTCTTTAAACTGTAAGTCACAGAAACTAAGAATGATATATAAATTGGATTTCCTGACACTCGGGGCTTTGATTCTTGCCTTTGCTTTTTCCCTTCTCTAATAAACTTTCCTTTTGACTCTAACTTTGGTCGGCATCCGGATTCTTTCTTGTGCTCAAAGAACCCTCTCTTAGTGCTGGCCCACTCAGGGGAAACTCATCTTGTCCTGCATCACTTTTAAGGACAAATCTGAGAATGCTAATACAACCTTTTCAAGTTGTTAGAAAACAATGCCATTGAACAATTCTTTACTTCTCACATGTTGGTCAAAGACTCAATAGATAATACAATTCCAATTGCTAAAGATTGTCAATAGATAGTGATTCTTCTAGAGAAAAAAGTTCTTATCCTACAAGGATCTCTATATATATAGGCTCTGCGATATATAAACACATTTCTAATATAAAGATTTTTGTTCTCCTCTATAAAACCACGATCCCAAATACAATTCTGTCCACAATCACAGGGAAGACATGATAAAGCAGAAACCAGAAATTCAAATGGCTTGAAATGTAAAACAGTTTCCATTTGCATTTTTTGATAGTTCACCATAGCTAAGGAGAATCTGACTACAGTCTATTAAGTCTTGAAGATTAGGGAGAGAGCATACAATGCTTATTAACTAAATCTTAGGGGAAAAAAATAACAGCTTCTACTGTTATTCAAAACAGATGAATCCACAACAGGGAAAAGAAACTCTCATTTTAAACAGAGAAATTTAAAAGGAACTCTTTTGTCCCAAATAGAGGACAAGTTGAAAAAATAAATAATTTCAAGAAGAATCTGTGGGTGGCAGATTCTTAAGAAGTTTTTAATAAATATCAGGGATAACTAAGTTGCCATCATAAATGTTAGCTGCTGAAATCATGAAATGTAATAATGATTTTCAATAAAGTATCCCAACAGCACTCTTTATAGAATTTGGAGTCTGAGTTATTGATCCAATAACTGTCCAAAGTTTCTTTTGTTCTTATGGACTCCTTTTTTTTTTTTCAATTCATGAAGAATGTTTTTTCTCTCAGATTGTTCATTTAAGTGTGCTGTGGTATTACCTGCTCCTCTTCTGAACATTGTGATGCAGTACGAAGAAAGACGGCTTGATTTCTAAGATGGTGATCATTTGGTTCATTTTTGTGAGTAAACTGAATTGAAGAAAATATGTTTTCTGAAGACCTGAATCCGAATGCTCCTCTTTTCGTCACATTATCCTCTGAAATGATAAGTTACATAATATCAGAAACCATCCACCTCACCTAGTCTAGTTTATTTTGTGTTTATTGAGAATCTTCCTTCCAAACAAAATTATTAGAGTTTTCAAAGAAACCTACAAACCGAATGCTTCAGGCATTAAACACTCGGTTTTACAAAGTTATTTCTAAAAATGCAAGAAAGGTAACACTATTTCACTTACTATACAAAAAAATATTTATTAAGTGCTAACTATGTGCCCAGCATTGTCTTCAGCCTTTGTTAAGAGGTCAGTAAGGCCCAGTATTTGCAAGACTCTTTGAATGTACCTATCTCATTTTCTTTTCTAAATTTGATGGGAATTATCTTGATATGGAAGCAATATATGGATGATTTTAGAAAATTTATGAGAAAAAAATTAAATTTGAAAATTACTCATAATCCTACAAGACACAGAAACTGTAACAAAATTTTTCAGTGGCTATGTCTCTCATCTTTTATCTATGCATCTATGTACTTCTAAAAATCAAATACATTTTTACTGTACATATTATAATTCAACTTGACAGCAATATTTCTTTCCATTTTATTGAATATTCTTTGTGTAATTTTAATAGTTATAGAGAATTCCATTGTATAAATGTAACGTGATTTATTTAACCAATCTCTTATTCTCAACTATTTAAAACTATAAACAACAAACACTTTGTACTAAATCTGTGCACATTCATGATTATATTCGGAGACAGAAAATTATGATATCATGATACCATTAACAGAAATGTGGGGATAAATTCTGATGTGAGATAATGAATTAAGCTTTGGCCATGTTGCATTTGAGGTGCCAGAGGAAATGAGAAATGCTCAGAAGGCAGCCGCAAATGTAAGCTAAAATATGGGAGAGAGATAACAATTATAGGTAAATATCTGGGAGTCAATTACACTGGGGTAACGGTTTAAGTCATAAAATTATTTTAATATTAGTAGTAATATTAAAAATAACAATAAGGGCTAACATATACTGAGTGTCAGATACTTATGAGCATCTCATAAATCTCACTTAAGCCTCACGACCCTAAAGGAAAGTACTATTAGTATCTCCAATTACAGATGAGGAAACCAAGGCCAAATGAGATTAAGTAATTTGTTAAAAGTCATATACCTGGTAAACAGCAGAGTAGGGGGATTTGAAGCCAGAGTCTTCTGACTAAGAACCCATGCTCCTAAACACTGTGCTATGTCACTTAGCATAATATAACAGATGAAGGGAAAGGGTCCTTAGAGAATCAAAAAATGAAGTGGAAAAAAGAGAAAACATCCCAGAAAGGAGACAAAGAAGAAAAGTTTACAATAGTACAAAAAGAACAAAAATACCATAGTAGATTCTAAAACTAAGACTGGCTTGCTGCAACTGACATTAGCAAATACAGAAATAGATGCCATTAATCACTAGGAACGTGCTAAAAGATTCAAAAGAGGCCAAGTGGCAGAAATCCAGGCATTGTCAGGTTGGGTATCACTGTTTCATCCCCTTATAACACTCTACCAGGAAAAGGTTCCAGAGACACAGAGATTGTTTAATCCCTGAGCTCCTTAGGCAGGTATCTAACTGGAGGGGTCGTGACACAGCCTAATCCAGCAAGGTGGCCATGTTTGCTCTTCAGCTGTTAGTTGCATGGCATCAAAATCAGTGAGATTCCTGTTGTTAATCATCACAGCCTGGTGCAAGTTCAGTTGGAATCTTTGTTTGCTTCTGAATACCCATCGTTGGTATAATTAAAACTTGGAAGTGTGTCTAAAGGACATTAACACAGAAATGCTGTTGGGGAGCAGAGGTAAGATAACCTAGTCTATAGTACATTATTAGCTCAATAAGCCAGAGAGGGAAAACACAAATATGGAATTTATCGCTTTGTCTTTAAAAAGCTTATATTATAGTAAATAACACAAATTCAGGCCAGTTTTCTCTACTGCCTCCTATACCAGCACCCTTGACTCCTAACTAGCTACAACTGAGAGAGATGACCCCTGCCGTTGGCCTCAACAAATCCTTAGAAATTTCTGGGCGGAAGGGCTGGGGGTAGGAGTGGGGGGAGGCTGAGTAAGTAAGGTAATGGGAGGGTTGCTAAGAATATGGCTGCAGTAACGAGCATTATAAAAGATCAGACGAGTGAGAAAGCAATAGTCTTAAGATTTATACCCCCTGACTTCTTCCTCTTGGACAGCCACGAAGATGTCCTAAATCGCTCCTAGGGCAAAGATGAGCAGTGGTAGCAGGGTGGAGCAAGACAGGCCTGAAAATGCTGGGCAACGGAAGTTATCCGAGGAATGAAAGAGTTCCTCAAACTTCATCAAAGTTCGAAGCAAGACTTCCTGTGGCTACCTGCCACTCCTCAGTGCACCGTTCTGACACGAGATGGCATCGTTTCAGTTCTCCTTGCTTATCCTTTAAGTCGGGCATAACCTAAATCTAGTTATTCCTAAAAAATTGCTATGTACTCACCCAGCTCAACAGTACTATAATAGTCTATTGACTTAAATATTTGAAAAGCACAGTGATGTCTGGGACAAACAAGTTCTATTTGTTCTCATGATTACACAGTGTGTTCCTTTACCATTTCCAATAAAACAACCAGGTTATTGAACAGATAACCAGATCAAACTCTTTTGAAAGAAAGAGCAAAATACAGTAAAGTGCCAGCTTCTGATGCTGATGTTGAATTACTGCGAGGGTGTCAGATCTAACAAAATTTCTTATTCACTCTTTTAAAATTTCTTCCTTTCATAAACATAAAGCTTTTGTTTTTTGAATACCAGAAGATTAAGAAGAGAACTTGTTTGTGCTCACTCCGATTGAACTTATAGTTTAAGGCTCCTTCCTAAATCTTAAAAATAGTTTCACAAGAATACATACTCTATCACTCCAAAGTCCCAGATGTGCTTCTTGTAAGGCTTTCAGTATTTAAAAACAACAACAACAACAACAAAAACATGACGAATAATAGACTTCTTGGTAGAATGAGATAGGAAAAAAGTTCTTTTTCAATATGATGCTGTCAAAATGGCAGATGTTGGCACAACTCAGAATCTGAAGTGGCATAAAGCCTGATTAGAGAGCCAGAATCTGGTGAAAGATTTATCCTGGCGACAATCCAAACGTGCCACCCAAGTATTCATCTCATCTTCTTCTATTTTTCATAAGAGTCCTTTTCCACTCTCATCTTATCCCTAATGTTTCCTGCTTTGAAATAAGTGTCAGACGTAATATATTTTAGAAATCTAACAGCAACATTTCGGAGAACAAATAGGTTACTGAGACCTGAAAGAGTGGTTCTCTGGGCATTTCTGAGTCAAAACTTCAACACAGATGAGACAAAGGTTTTTTTCTAAAGGTTTTTAAAGGTTCCATTATTCTGAAGCAACGGAATTTCAATTTTCTTTTGATACCTAACAGACAAGCTTCCAACAGATCACCCTTACAAGGCCACCAGCTATACCTACAGTGTCTAATTTCAGGCCAAAGAAAAAGGTTGAAAAAGTTGAAACCACTGATGCCACAATAAATTAGATACTAATCACATATTGATTATCTATCTTCCAGATGAAAGCGATCAATTTCATTGAAGTCTATTTTGAAATGAACTTTTTAAAAATTCAAGTTTTTCCATACAGAAGCCAGACCAGTGGCCACGTGCTGAGAAGCATCGCCACACTTGCGGGAGAGTTCTCACAGATCAACACCACCAGCATCAGAATTCACAACCAAATTCTGTCAGCAGCCTCTGAGTGTCTGTTCTTCTGCACCGTGGTCGACAGTAATGTAAAACAAGGGCATGTTCTCAGTCATACAGATATTGAATATGTTGCTAGAAGGAATGAAAAAATTCATTGGGGGAAAATTCTGTGCAACACTGGGCAGCTGCAAAAAGCCTTCTGCAAAGAGAATAGGGGATAAGCAATCATGCTTATAACAAGGTTGGGTACTTTGAAAGTCAGAGGGCGATTTTCACATTATACTCCTAGCCTACAGCAATGCTTCTCTGGACAATAATAATTGCTCTTGATTTGTCCAGCCAAACTACTTCCCTCAACTGCTTCTTGATCACATGCTACCTGGTATCTGGCCTCCCCTGGAGCGATAGTCATTAGGATTAAATAAGCAATTTAAAAACCAATCAATCATAAATCAAAATAAATCCAAAGAAGCTAAATTCAGCAGACAAATGTTTTGTCTAAATTCCCTTTGCAGTGCTCTGAATTCCAACTGTTTTATGTACTTCATTGAAAGGGCACAGGGAGGAGAGGATTACCTCAGCCTGGCAAGTCAGGAATAATTGTGTTTTCCCTGAGGCTGGATGATAATTGACTCATTATTCACAGTCATAGCTCTCAAACTGCCAAGAAACGAATGCACAACCCTGGCCCTGAAAAACGTGTGTCAAAAGCCCAAGATGAAGGACACATAGTAGTAAGTTGAATTTTTTTAAATGTCCAGTGTTAGGCACTCACAGAAGGAAAAATGTAGAGAGCGTAAAGTTGCCGAAAAGTTTATTTGCAGGAAAAAAATCTGAGTGGTAATTGAGTTATGCAATTCATTCAATCCAAAAGTTATAACCTGGCATCAATTGCGACATGCAGAGTGACAAAAATAGGTAAGACCAGTCCTCGCCTTACAGAATTTACAAATGAGGAAGTTAAGCCAGGTATGCAAACCACCAAAACAGAACCCAACTATGGCAGATGATGTAAGGGAGGTAGGGCACAATGTTAGAGGATGGTAAAATCACAATTCGTTTCGGAGAATCACAAAAGCTTCACACAGGAACGGGGCATCTGAGCCAGGCTTTGAAACACAGCAACAGTTTCAACAGGTGAACATCACAAGTTCCGCTACAAAGGGAAAATTGCATCATATGTGGTCTTTTGTGCCAGACATTTTTTACTTGGCATAACGTCTTTGAGGTTCATCCATGTTGTAGCATGTTTTAGTATTTCACTTCTTTGTCAAGAACTAATCCATTA